TCTGTAATTGATCTATGGCTCCCACGTTGTAGATATTATACATAGAAGCATCGATCTGATATCATTGAAGACGTGCCAAGCATATGCATGCATCCTTTTGGTATATAATAGTTAATTCCAAAGGATACAACTTTTGAATTCAAATGATTTCTCCAAAAGATGCAATTGTAATAACTCATCGCACATCATTCTGATATATATTTGAAATCAATAACAAGCAGATATTCAGTCAACTATTTAGAATTCGAAGAATTAAGTTTAATTTCCTCTAAAATCTCACATACAAGTTCGGATTTATGGAATTGTTAGATGGCAAGTAACTATAATTATTGATGAATTAAGTTTAATTTCCTCTAAAATCTCACATACAACTTACACACAAACATTATTCACCGTGCACCTATTCTCATTTTTCATGGCCTAACTAAGGCCTCCATTCTTTTATAGCCAGAAGCAAGACATTTTTTTGTGAAATATGCGTACAAAACGTCCTCAAGATGAATTAGAATATTGAGCGTAAATGGCGTGAACTTTTGTCCACCCTGGTTAGCCACACTTCCTAAACCAAAAAACAAAGTCATTTTCCCCACCCCGCGGTTAGCCACACTTGGTAACTAACTCTAAACTGATTCGGGACTAGTAACTACATTGGAGTGAGTCATCAAACAGCTCTGGTAACTACAACACTTTAATTGCCAAAACTGAAACTGCATTTCAAGGAACAAGAAAAATAAATTGAGGATGCTGTTGAAGGAGAGGCCATTCGGTGGCTTGATGAGAAGCAACTTGAAAGAGTTCAAAGAACTCTGCATCAATCTCTTAGTCCTAAGAAGATTAGTGACACCATTTGAGTTTAACAAGGAATGCTTAACAATTCTAGTTCTTGAATTAGGTATGACACAGATTGTTTAAGACCCCTCAAATATTTATGAATATATCTTACATCAACCTCATATTCATTAAAAAAAAAATAATGAAGAGACCAAAAATTAATGATAATAAAAGTAAAAAAAATTTGGAAGAAAACGTTTCATTTGAAAACGACGGCGTCTGCTGCCCTTCCTCCGCTTTGGTTTCCAAGGAACACCATAACCACTAGATATTATCACATAATATGGAAATAAATCTAGCTTGGTAAATAAATAAAAAATGAAAAATAAATCTAGAGAAAAAAGGAACAAGATTGAAAATAAAATAAAATTGAAGAGTTAATACATGCCTCTTAATCAATAGTACTATTATGCCAAACCGCATTTAACTTTGAATTTAACTAAGTTACTTCGAAGGAACTCAAACTGTGAGATGGTACAAATGGATGGCGGAGGCATTGGAACTATCATTGTCGCACCGAATGTCAAATCAGAAAGCCATCGCAACCAATGACAAACCATGAATCGGTGGATCAAACAAAGGAGGCACATGAAATACCGCAATCGCACCTAATTTGAATCGGTCACTCAAACGGAGGAGGAGACACATGTGTTATGAAATATTTCAGAAAAAACACATGATCTCTTTCTTTTTTTTCAAGTCAAACTTTATTTTCATTCTGTTCAGATACAATTGTATTTTCTAAATACTTGATTGAAAAGGTCAAATTTTCATAATGAATTTAGTTTCCTCCAATACCTCAATTAAATATATGCTACTGAATAATTTTGCTCTATAATCTCGCTTACACTCCTATGCTCATTTTCTATGGCAGAAGTAGACCTCAGTGTTTATAGCAACCACCGAGATAGTTTTTGTGATATGCATACAAAGCTTCCTCAAGATGGATTAGTGTGCAGGGAACAAAAATGGCGTGAATCTTGCATGACATATAGTTGTAGTTGTTTGACCGCATATCTAAAATTAAGGTTGTTCTAATTCAATCCCAATAGATGTTCTCTTAATTAAGTGAGTAGATGGTTTGTATGCATGCTTAGATGGTAGCGATTGCAAATGTATTTTAACCAAAATCTTAGTTAAAATGCACATTCTGATACTATTTTCGCTTAGTTGAATTGAATTTAGCGTCTCAATATGTCATGCATGTATGTTTTTTTTGTTTATACATTATAGCTTCATTGAAAATAAAATGATAGACAAAATGGGGACAGAAGATTTGAACTCGTTAAGAAACAAAGTAAAATTTCTTTTATTGTTGTGTAAATATGGAAATTGTTTTGGGCTCCTCACTCAAAATTTGGACCTCTTAAAGGAAAATTAAAAGATAAAATTGAACCCAAACAAAGACTTTTCTACAATTTATTTTTTTTGCATATATACGGATAAAACAATACAAAAATTTGGGCCTCGTAAGAAAGAGCCCAGAAATGAACTCCAAACTTACATGGACCTGGTAACTCCATTGAATCCCCTCGAACTCGAAGCTCCTATTTTAAACCACCCAGCAGCCTTCAAACCAAAGCCGAACAAAGCCCCAACAGATACTAAAAGCGGAGGACCCTAAATACCGATTTTAGCCTATAAATGTTAAAAGGTACTGCTTCACATTTCAGGCTCAAAGAAAAAGCAGAGATATCTCTGATTTGAGTTTGACACAGAGATGGCCAAAAGATTGAGCTCGCAGCTCTTCGTCAACAGTATTCTCTATTTCCCTTTCTTTCTCTCAAATCATCTTTATGGTTTTTGGTTAAAACCCTTATTTTGATTCTTGGATTTGTTGCTTAGGATTATCATCGTTCACTAATAATGAACAGCTCAAGAGACTGTTTTCCCCCTTTGGAGATGTTACAGAAGGTCTTTCTACTTTTCTTTTTATTTTTCTCCGATTATTTATTTATTTTTCTTCTGTAATTTGTGGAAATTACTGACTGGTTTTAACCTTTGTGATGATTTTGTTTTACTGTATGTTTAGCTAGAATGGTTGTGGACCGTATAACTCAAAGACCCAAAGGATTCGGTTTTGTCACTTACAAGTCAGATGTTGGGGCACAAAAAGCTTTGAAGGCCATGAATGGCAGGGTAATTTCCTTCTTCCCTATGGTTAAAATTAAACCCCAATCCATGAAATTTATTTATTCAGATTGCAATGGTAAATTGACCCATATTATAATTGTTTTTGTGCCAAATTGCAGATCATATAACCCTTATACTTGTGCATTCTTAATCTTTTATGTACTGAATATGTGTTTTTGGTTGATCAAATTTTCTAGTCTTTGTTTTTGTTTGTCATATGTAGTGAATCGCCTTGAGTCTTGTTTTTCTCTTTTGAAGTTTTTGTTAAAATTTGTCCAGATGGTTGATGGGAGGCTGATTTTTGTTGAAGTTGCCCAGAATCAAAAACAGGAAGATTATACCAAATCTTGATAATGAGCTAGTTTTTTTCTCTATGTTGTTCAAGATGGGTTGATGCCACATCACATGCTTTGTAACTTTCAATGTTAACTTTCACGTAATTGAATCAAATGAAATTAAATGGTTTGAGATTGAACACAAATCAGATTACTATTGTATGCTCATCGTTTGTTTGGATCCCAATAGATAGCCTCTCGGTTACTCTTGTGTGTTTTGGTACTTAAGTTTTAGAAAGAAGGATTAGACTCCCAACTTCTCCTTCGCTAAAAGATAGTTTTTCATAAGCAAAGTCATCGTCATATCCAACATTCCAGCTCAAATCTTAAAATAAAAACCAGAGTACACCACTGAAGATTTCATTGTACAAAGTTTTCAGTTTGTATAATTTGAATTAGCCATCCCATTTTCGAGAAAATGAGATTTATTCAACGTTCCTTTCATATTATAGCGAGAATTTCTTACCATAATTTATTCAAGACAAAACTATAACTGCATCAAAGTATATTGACTTTAATATCATTAACTATTGATTTATTTGTATAATCTTTTCCTAAAAGATATTATTCATGCGTATCTAACACTTAGTCGTGTCATGAGATATAATAAGGTCTTACTTCTATATCTAGTTAGTCTTCTGTTTTTAAGAAAGTGAGCTTTCATTCAAGTATGGCCGCTACACGACCAAGAGGGGATATAGGGAAGAGTCCACACAAAACTAAACATTGCTTTGGGGAGATTGAAGGCCATCCTTATCCAAAATGAAGTTTATTTTCTTTTTGTGACTGCCCATACTCATGAGGAAGCTTTATTCGTAAGTATCTAATGCTTAGTTCACCAAACCGAAATTCGAAGCTTACCATCAAATTTACCAACCTCCACTTAGGTAAGCTGTTCTATATTAATTTTAGTTGCCTCCAAAATCTCACAAACAACTTACAAGCTAAAATCTGCATACATTGTATCCTCTTTTTTTTTTTTTTTTATTGCGGAACTAAGACCTTCATGGTTTTTATAGCAAGAATCAACACAGTTTGTGTGATATATATTCCATTGAGGGATCTTTTCTCAAATAATTTTATTTTAGAGACACCATTTATGGTACCCTACTTTTTTTTTTTTCAACAATCTAAACCGTCTATTTTTCAAGTCTTTATTCATCCTTGCAAAAAACCCTACAAATTGAAAATCAATAAGACATCTAATTGCAAGCAACAAAATAGATTAACATGGCACTTCAAGAAAAGACGAAAATAACAATAATTTAATTGAGTGATCATGGTTTCAGATTCAAGTGATTTTTTACAGAGATGATCGGAATATCTAAAAATTAAATGGTTTGGATAATTGAAAAACAATGTGTAGTAGGCCCTTCAAGAATGGGGTGGAGGTCTTAGGTCTTGGCTCCTTTCCTTATTTTTGTCAAGACAACCGTGGCAAACATTCAAACTCAATCAAGTCTTTAAATGAAAAGTACACAACTCAAGTGTTCAATTCAGCTCATTTAATTAACCATACGACGGGAATATTTTCATTTGTTTATGATAAGCGATAGAATATTATTGATGTGAAAAAGCTAATATAAGAAGTCTGAACTCGTATCAAAGGCAAAGGAAATTCCTTGATGACGAATTACAATCCTCATACAGTATATCTGAAATAAAATCAGGAGGTTACTGGTGCAAAATGCGCTATACGATGAGCCACACCATTGGCAGTACGACGAATATGGGTAAAACCTTCCCCAGTGACTTGTGTCAGCAAGCTCTTGGTATCCTCCACCACTGGTCCAATGACGTACCTATCTATGGAGTTACTTCAAAGTGCTGTAACGATCTGGAGAGCATCCCTTTCAAAGACAACATTTTGAAAACCCTTTTCCATTGCCAATACTGTACCTGTTCTTGCAGTCAAAGCCTCCACTTGTTGTGCAGAGAATACATTAACCAATTTAACTGTACAATTCACCACAAATTTGCCGGTGGAGTTTCTCACAACCACGTCGACGCCACCCTCTGTGGTCCCTGGCTTCCAAGCACCATCCACATTTATTTTGAGAGTGTTAGCATGTAGTGTCTGCCACTTTTCTTTTGTTTGACCCTGCCCACTGTGAGACCCCAAGCATTCATTTACCCGCAGAAATTCCTGTAGCCTCAGAGATGCATTCAAGCTGACTTGTTCAGGCCTAATCTTCTTAGCATTCCATGGATTGCTTCCCAAATTGCCCAATCCACCATAAGAAAATTAGACGGGAATATAAATTTGGGGAAGAATGACCCTTGATGCACTGGGAAGACAGATTTGTCATAATAAAGTTGATCAAATCTCTTCAAACATATTCATTTCATTGGAAGACAAGAAGAAAATTTATATCACAAATTTTACAAAATTGCCACAAGGCGAAAATAAAATAAAATAGAATCAGTGTGCAACTCAGATCTGGACTTGCTGGTTAATATCACCTACCACAACATGCCCCCTCCAATCCACTGTACCTGCCAAAGAAAGCAACAAGACTTGAGATAGTGGGTACCTATACGTTCAAGACAAATATGTCACGGGAGCAAATGGAAGAAAGTTTGTGCTATGCTCCCAACCACCATCCATACACACCCATAGAACATGTATGGTCAAATTATGCAATTTATAGGATATATATATATATATATCTACAGACATGAGACGATTATGAACTATCCTCCTATAAGTCGTCATTCTAACAGCAGCAACTAAATAGTCAAACTAAAGCAATCTTCTGATATGGACAAATCGTTTTTTTTTTCTAAATGAAAACCCTTACCGAACTGTTGAATTGCCCTGGTTTCCGCAACACAAAAAAGGGCAACTTTTCATACATGAAAAATTGGATAACGTTTATAACTTTACATAAGGCATAACAAGCTGATGATAGGAAAAAAACGAATACACAGCCTCTGACACATAAAAGGAATTCCAACCAACAAAGATTAGATGGTATAGAGATAGCTTCATTAAGGAGCTCCACGCAAAGAAATGTTGGCCAAAGCATAGAGTAGATTCACCAAGCACTTAAGTTAGAACTCAATCCTAATGCTATTTGCTTTATCTCAAAGAGAGAGAGGAAAAAAAAACAATAGCAAAGCTTTTAGTTAAAAACTAAATTTTACCTGAGATCAATGTCATTACCCCTTGTGTGCAAATTCCAAGCGGATTCGTCTGCCATCTAGCAACTGAAAAGAATCACAAACATTAACCAACGATCTTTCTTTGCATTCCAGAGGAGGCAGGTAGGTACTTAACAGGGTGATTTCAACACATATAAATTACAAAGAAATTAATCATGAACAATAAAAACTACCTGACCATCCATTTCTTTGAGAGCAGTGCTGGCTTCAATTCCAGAAGTAAACTTCACAAATCCATACCCTTTCGATTTCCCACTCACATGATCACATATAACTTTCACTGTTAAATAGGACAACATTATCCCCTCAAGTAAGTAAATGATCTTCAAAGAACAAAGAACCCAAAAAAAAAACCTAAAAAGTTAATAACAGCCTCAATCACAGTAACATTACCTTCAATTATTTCACCATGTTTCCCAAAAGCTTCCTTAAGAACAGGTTCATTTGTATCATAGGAAAGCCCTGTATATTGCATCCAACTTAGGTTATAACAAAAAAATCATATCCAAAGCAACATACCATGAAAAAGAAATATTTTTCAGAGTTTTACTACTTTAACAGCAACCACTTCTGTTCTATCTTTTATCAACAATTTCATTGTTATATCTTTTATGAACAATTCTAACGAAACCCCTGATAATGATAAATTTGGCTATTTGATACATAGAAACAAGATCTTAACCACGAAATTAACTTAATATAATATGAACTGAAAAAAAGAAAACCGATGAAGTTTAAAAAACCTCCAACGAACAAATTGGATGAAGAATGGCGTGCCCAGAAACTCCTGCCCAAGGCAGACGTGCGCAGAATCCCAAATCCGCCATTTGAGCCTCTCATTTCCCCTTATCGTGCGCCGGTCTACAAGGAAGAAGATGGACGCGAAACGGCGTCGTCATAAGTTGACTGACCGTACAGCTGTTGTGGTGTAAGTAAAATTTATGTATTCTAAATTTGGCGGTGAAGCAAACTTCTACCTTCACTACAACTATCATTTCATGATTTATTGGACATCATAGTTTCATTTTCTCCTGTTGTATGCTTGTATACAACATCATACTTTGATTATTCATATGAATTGTAGTTATTTTTATTGGATGACTCTCTGTGGATTAGTTCTAAGAACACTAGAAGTTGTGCATGTGAGATAGCCCATTTTCTCTTCTTTATGCCGCGCTTCCTTCCCTAGCAGCAGAAGTTTTAAGTCATACTTTGAGTAATAATTTAAGTTTTATGATTATTTGTATTTTGGTTAATTCTATTTATCTAATCTGACTGTTGTGATTTTTGGTGGACAGAATTGATTTTGGGATCATAGGAAACGATGGTTTTCTTTCTTTTCTATATTAATCATAATTTGTAGTTTCTTTGTGTTATTAATTCATATGTTTACTAACTGTTTTTCTTTCTTTATGCAGAGGTGCAAATCTAATTTGAATATGAAACAACTCATGGAATTGTATGTGTATATGTAATGGAAGTTTATTTGTTTTTATTTGGATTTTCTTTTGAACTCGGAAAATATGCAAATTGTGATTGAGATTACTCTCACAATTTGCTACGGACCGTAATTATTAATTTCTGTATTTTGAGATGCGTGGTGGATGATTATTTGTTATGGTTTTATGGTTTTTTTAAGTATTTGAATGATGAAAACTTTAGATATGCAGAGTTGGAGAAACTGGAAAAACTGGAAAAACTGTACAGTTTTTGTCAAAACTTGAATTGTTGAAATATGTCCAAAAAAACAGAATGGGCCTGGAAAATATAAACAAAAAAAAGCCTTCAATTGTTGCTTTTGTTGGGCCTCGGCAAATACCCGAACCGAACCAACCCGGCCCGCCTAACTCGGGTTTCGACCTAACTCGAAAATGGGCCTAAAAGAGAGGTCCATTGTTTAGCATTTGGGCCTACCGACAAGGCCCGGTTTGGCGTGCGGTTTGGGCCCATAACCGGCCCAACCCGACCCGTGAACAGCCCTACATTTTACTTACACCACAACCGCTATACGGTCAGTCAACTTATGATGACGCCATTTCGCGTCCATCTTCTTCCTTATAGACCGGCGCACGATAAGGGGAAATGAGAGGCTCAAATGGCAGATTTGAAATTCTGCGCACGTCTACCTTGGGCAGGAGTTTCTGGGCACGCCATTCTTCATCCAATTTGTTCGTTGGAGGTTTTTTAAACTTCATCGGTTTTCTTTTTTTTCAGTTCATATTATATTAAGTTAATTTCGTGGTTATGTTTCTATGTATCAAATAGCCAAATTTATCATTAGCAGGGGTTTCATTAGAATTGTTCATAAAAGATATAACAATGAAATTGTTGATGAAAGATAGAACAAAAGTGGTTGCTGTTCAAGTAGTAAAAACTCTGCAAAATATTTCTTTTTCATGGTATATTGCTTTGGATATGATTTTGTTATAACCTAAGTTGGATGCAATATAAATATATAAATATGCTGATAATTAATAAATGACCATTTAAGAACGCCTATGATAAAAGCATCTCTTACATATCATGCAGAGACAAAAGGTTTAACATAACATATTCCAAATCTCTTGTTTAACACGCGCGAGAGAGAGAGATCTATACCTGCCGCCTGGTGTAGATAGAAACTTCTTGATGAGGATCGACAAATGAAAAGTACTCTAATCCTGATACAAGCGAACAAGCAATAAATTGAAAGCGCAAGTAGAAACTACATGCATATAACATTAGTAGGGAAAACAATTTCCCACACTCAGTAACCAGATGATGCAAGCAAAAAAGCGAATATTTCACTCACCAGCTGAGCAATAACAAAAGCTGCTACAAGTAACAGACCAGGACACTCAACAAAAGACCAAGATCCATAAAAACACAAGATCCAGTGTGCTGAAATAACAAACATAAGCGTTTAGCCAAGCAACTAAGTCATTATTAACAAGATCCATAAAAACGCAAGAAATAAAGAGGACTTACAGAGAAGAAGTCTGTCTTCCTTCAGACCTGGGGTAATACAAATATAAACGAAGGAATTTATACGAATACCTACAAATCATGCCCAAAATAAATATAAATTTCCAACCCTAAAATAAATATAAATAAAAAATAAAAAATCACAACATAGTCAGACTCGTTCATGAGAACTAAGAGAGAAAAAAAATTACAGATATTAGTACCTTAAAGCCCTAACTCGTTCATGAGAATTTGCGGCTCAAATTGACAGAAAAATCGAGTGAGGAAAACTGAGAGAGAATGGCTGAGAGAGAGCGAGAGTGACCGTGAGAGAGAGCAAGAGTGACAGAGAGAATGGCTGAGAAAGAGATAGCGAGATTGACCGGGAGAAAACGACAGTGACAGAGAGAGAGCCACGCTGCGAGAGACACCGAGAGAGAGAGAGAGAGAACGACAGTGACAGAGAGCTTGAAAGAAGAAGTCGACGGATTTGGTTTGGGGAGAGGAGGTTGAGTGAGAGAGGCAGATCTGATCGAGAGAGAAGTGAAAAAAAATTTGGAGCGGCTGAAATGAAATGTTAGGATTTCGCGAGCGAGCGATCGAGTGTGGCAAGGCGTATACCTGGGCTTAAAATGGACGAATCAGCCGCTGCCACATGTTAAAATTTATTTTTAAATAATATAATTTAATATGTTCGGTCCGGTCCGGTTTTCGCCGATTTTTCAAAAATTAAACCGGTTCTTACCGGTTCGGTACGATTTTTTTACCGATTCATGAATTTTTTATTATAAAAACCGAACCAAACCACCAAAAGCGGTCCGATTCAGGCGGTCCGATTCGGGCGGGTTTTCGGTTATAATGCCCACCCCTAGTAAACTCTTTGCTCACCAATCACACTCATTATCTTTGCCTTTTCAACCATGAATAACTCCCACACCCCCTCGGCAACCTTCTTCCTACTTGGTACCTTGAAACGAGGTTGCACCTCGTTCATCATTTCCTTAAAACCCGAGCCCTCAACGACTCTAAAAGGATGCTCATCCTTAATGATGAACTTCACAACCTTTAACTCACATTTTTTTTGATTGAATGTGTGAGGAACCAATCCACTACCCATTGTATCCGTTGTCAAAGAAGGTTGATTTGCATCACCTTCTTGTTGATAAAGAGGAGAGAGCTTGCATCTCCTCTCTATGTGATTTTTTAAACCGGTTGTCCCATTTTTTCTAGGGTCCGCCGGCATCTCCAATTTGCAATAATTGCAAACCCCTATAACCTTCTCTACCCCATTACCATCCTTCTTTATTTGTTTTGTGCAATGTAACCACACAATCGACTTTGGGGCTTTCCTCCTATCTCCCACCATAAGGCCCTCACTTGTGGGATTTTGTGTTTGAGTTGGAGATTGTGTTTCGGGTGTATCGGTTTGTGTTTGGGGATTAGAGGCATTAGGTGTGTTAGAGTGGCTAGACTCCATCTATAACACAACACAACACAAAAGCAACAACATAAAAGAATATTAATAACATTAACATATTCAAAACAGATTTTGGCATATAAAATGTATCACGAAAGCAAGATGCTCTTTGCTTCAATCTTTGTTGGGATATAGCATCTTGTTTTTCCATTATTTTTCTGGTCTTGATTAGTATATTAATTAAAGCTGACATGTTCTTTTTCCATTATTTTGTTAAAGTTTTCATTAAATAATAAAAAGGTATCCTTTTAAGGAGCATCTTTCAATAATCGGTTTGTCTTAATGGAAACCATTTAACCAGTAAGATAAACAATAAGACAACTGAGTGCAATATTTCTTAGTTCTCTCGTGTTGTGTGAGATAAGATGGTTACTTGCTGTGATGATGAGGATTTCAGAGCATCAGACAAACTACTTTTAAAATGGATTTCGGGGCAGGAAAAAAACATTATAATTCAATGAGTACACAAAAGAATAATGCCAAGTAGCCGTCACACATTGGTTAACATGACTCTGATATCATAAAAAAAATTGAGGTTTTACGGATATTCTTTCACATCCTCATATATACAAAATGAGAATGAGTCGGATCCAAAGACTACTTATTTTTCCATTAGTGAGATAGGTTCTGTCTGTAGGTATAAAAATAAAATGATGAATGTCTAACTCTATAGCCACTAAAATCCCATCAACAAACTCAGTTCAAGGGTTTTGATTTCGATTGCCATTATAGGTTTGGTTTCTCTGACCTAAAAATCCCATCAAATTTAACATTACAAATTCCCAATTAAAACCTAAAACCCTATCTTTGAAACAATTGATTTCAGAAATTAGAAACACCATAATTTACCTCAAAAATTGGTTATAGTGGTGGCCGACAGGTTTGAGAGTGGCTGTTGACAGTGGTGGGCGACAGGTTTCGGCCTAGGAACACCCTATCGGCTGAGAGCGGTTGTTGAGCTTGAGACACAGAGAGAGACAGAGAGACAGAGAGAGAGCTTGAGTTGACTGAGCGTGCTGGAGGTTCAGTTGAGAGAGAAGAGAGAATTGAGATCGAGAGAGAGAGAGAGAGAGAGAGAGGAGATGGGTTTGATTCGGGTTTGTGAGAGAGAATCGTATTTTCAGAGTTGAGAGAGAGAGAGAGAGAGAGAGAGAGAGAGAGAGTCGAATGAGAATCAGTAAGAGTGAGATCGCAATTGCATCTAACGGCTAGAGATAAGGCTACAGACAATTAAATGGAAATAAGGCTGTAGAGTATAGCCGTGCGGCTATACTTTGCAGTTTGCGGTAACCGCGGTATTTGATATTCAAATACCGCAACCGCAACCGCAAATGCGGTTCGGTTTACCGCGATTGCGGTTTTATTTCGGTAAATTATCGGTTGATTTTTGCGGTTTTTCGGTCCAAAATGCCACCCCTATAGTAAATTGTCTTTATAGTTGGGTTTGCTTAGTTGGAAAGTGGAGAAGAAACAACTTTGGGTGGCCAAGCCAAGTTGGGCCTAGCTAATTGTTTTTTCCTTTTTTTCTTTTTTAATTACATGGTAACCTGAAATTTGGACCAAAAAATTGGGGATTGAATGTATAGGGACAAAGTTGACCCCAAGAAAAAAAGGTGAAATTATATAAATGCTAAGTAAAGAAGATTCATAAATTAGTGGTTAAAATGTCGAGAAGAAAACCGTAGCAACTAACTTAAAACTTCGTCACTTATTTTTTATGAGTAAGTAAAGTTGTTATAATGTTTGTAGAAAAAATGGGGGGTTTTGAATTTATTGTAGAATCAAATGTAAAGTCGATAACTTTCAACCCTTACATTAATTAATGGTTAAGAATTATCCACGCACACCTAAAAGCATGATAAAAGTGTCATCTCGTGAAGATAAGATAAGTTTTACATTCTATTGTATTTTCATTTCCTTATCGATTACGTAAAGTTTGTTATGATGTTACTAAAAAAGGAGCTATGAACTCAACTATAGACGCGAGTCTCACAACAAGTCTTGCATCAATTAATTTTCAACAGGAGATAAGGGTCAGGATGTTTGCATCATATCACATGTTCATTTCCCTGTACTTCCTACAACTAACAGCAAGAGTCAGTATAATCCTTGGCATTTTGAGGAATAAAATGCTGCAGTAACTTTGCAAACTTAGCATCCAGGCCCAAATCTCATGATCAACAGAAGACCCAAAAACGTTAAATGATTCTTTTCTGTGCAAGAACCTTCTTGCATTGACCAAAAGGCTATCAGAAAAAGGAGCTTCAGCAAAGGACTACTGCCAAACGAGCCCCACTTTTCTTAAATCATCCAAGCTCTTCTCTCTGTTTTGTCATAGTAGGCAAAGTGACAAAACACAATCAAGACTATAATCCTATTCATGATTTTTGTCATGCAAGTTTGTCATGCGGCAAACCCAAATTTGCATACTCTCCCTTCTACCCTAATGCAATCTATCCAAATAATGCAGGAAGAGAGATAGAAAGAACATGATATACACTCCGGTGTAGGTAAGTTTGTATCCTAAAATACAGAACACGAACAACAAAATCATCTTAATAGACTCATCCAAGCTTTCATCATCATAAAAAATAAGGACCCCCTGGAATTAAGGGACATTAATTTGTCATGGAAGTTTGTTATGGGGCAAACCCAAATCAATCACACACTGTAAGAAGTGCAAGCTCTCAACCGCTCAACTCTCCAACGATCAAAAAGCAAACAGGACCGTCACAATCTGAAAATATACCAAGTACGCATAATAAAAACAACAATCCAATCTTTCTCATCATCAACAATATTGGACCTTTATGTAATTAAGAGATTTTGTCATGCAAGTGTCAAATCCAACTCACAACAATACATAACAACAAAAATGAACACGCAAGGTTTACATGTTTTAGAAGAAAAAAAAAATTGCAAGCTCTCAACCACTCACCCAAGCTTTCTTCTTTTCTTTTTTCTTTAACCATCAAAGATTCAAGAACACTTGCGTCCACAAGATCCAGTAATCAAATGCCAATTCAGTAATGAGCATTCATGCCAAATAACCTTAGTCATTATACCAAGCATTATAGTAAAGAAAGGTGCTATAAAAGGCAAAAGGGGCATGGGATAAAGAGTGGAACTTATGCTTGAGAAGAACACACACAAAAGATATTCCTTTCTTCAAAGCTTTCATAAAGCAGCCCATCAAGACAAGACCCATTAAGACAATAACAGAAACAAGAGGTTTCATTAATGAATTCCAAGAAAAAGAAAGTTCCTAAAACTTGGTCATGATCACATAGATTTGAGAGGTTACAAATGCTTTCAAATTCATTAAGCATTTTAGACTACCAACCAACAAAAACAAAGATCTGAACACAGATTACATACAAATGGAGAGGAGCCCAACCTAAAACTAAACATGTGGGGGTTCTTAAAACTAAACATGTGGTGGGGGATTCATTGGGGGAAGCTTAAGCCTTCTTGGGAGACTTGGTGGCCTTGGATGGAGATTTAGGCTCTTTGGCGGCGGCCTTCTCTGATTTCTTGGGCAAGAGGACTGGGTTGATGTTTGGAAGCACACCACCATGAGCAATGGTCACACCGGCGAGCAATTTTCCAAGCTCTTCATCGTTCCTCACAGCCAATAACAGATGCCTTGGGATAATTCTGTTCTTCTTGTTGTCCCGAGCCGCATTTCCAGCTAATTCAAGCACCTGAAGGAAAACCCACATCAGAAATTTTCTCAGCAACCAACCATCAATTTAGGTCAAAATTTCAGCAAAAAATTAAAAAAACTACCTAACATAAACAATTACACTCCAAATTGAGCACAACCCAGAAACTAAAAGCTGAAACCCTAACTAGCAAAACAAAAACAAACCCACAAATCGAAAGGGAAACTTACTTCAGCTGCGAGGTACTCAAGAACCGCGGCCAAGTAAACTGGAGCTCCAGACCCAACTCTCTGAGCATACCTTCCCTTCTTCAAGTACCGTCCAATACGACCGACCGGAAACTGCAGACCGGCCTTGACGGACCGGGTCACCGGCTTCTTCTTTGGACCCCCACCTTTCCTTCCACCGGCACCTTTCTTCACCTTACCACCAGTCTCCATCTCTCAGCTCTGAAAATTCCCGAACCCTAGACCCACTAAAACCACTGACACCCTTTTGGCTCAAAAACCCAATCAGAAATGGCAAAGAGAGAATTGAAAATTTTCGGACAGTGGATTTAGGAACCTGTTAGAGAATTGGTTTTATAGGGTGAGATGTATTGTGGATCATATTGTTCAGGGAAGGCTTGGGGAGCTTGTGAGTGCACGGTGGCCGTACGATGGCCGTCTTATCGACGGTTGAGACAGATTTGACTGCGATCCGTGTAGTGAATAATTGACCAATGGGAGAGGGTTCGCATTTTGTCTTTTCAGTTTTTTCCGTTTTTGGTTTTTTTGATTGAAAGGTAACACATATTAAGCATCACCGCCAATTTCTTTTTCTTTTTCCAATTTCCCGCTGAAGTTTCTATATAGTACTTTCAAATTTTTGGGAGGTGAAATTTGTTTAGAGGTTATGAAACAGTAATTTATTTGATAACATAACATGTGTCAATAATTCGATAATCAAGAATGATGAAAATTATCTTCAACCATTAACTCTTAACGTTTTTGATATAGATATAACTAATTAGGATTGTACCAATTCACATGATCAAAGAAACTTTTAAAATCGATAAATTAAAAGTTAATCCTATAAATAGTTAATCCTTTCAGGGTATGTTTTGCATGCCACAAGAACAAAATTTACAAATTGTTATTTAACATTTCTTACCTTGAAACACAACTTAAACTGTTAAAGCATCTCCAACCGATGTGTCAAAAGTGTCACATAGACATTTAACAGCTAGAAATAACATCTCACATTACTCCAACCGATGTATCAAAGCTGATGTGGAATGAAGGCTGGAGATTAAGATGTTATTTTTGACATCCCAAAAGCAAGATGTCAAATGAATATTTTATTATTTTTAAAGATAGTTACTTTCATTGATTATTTTCCTTTTTATATTTTTTATATTTTTTTATCTTAAATGATTTGACTGTTACAATAATTATTTATTTGACAAATCGGGTGGAGTGTAAAACTGTGTAAATGTCAAATTGTCACATCAGCCATCAAATTTAAATTTGATGTTTGGTATTTGACATCTCCCTTAGAGATGCTCTTAGAGCATCCACAATGGGCTCCCTAAACCACCTCTTTAGACAAATTTTAGGAAGGAATGATAAAAATACAACTTCAACCACGTTCCCTATCCACATCCTAAAATAGGGAGTCCTCTAGGAGTTTCTAAATCTAAGGAGAGAGAAAGGACTCCTAGTGGCTCCCTATAATTTAATGTTGTTTTATTAAATGAGTATTTCAAACTTTTATTTAATGCTAACCATTTTTTATTTTATTTTTTAATAGAGATGGACCAATCAAAAAAGAGTTATAGCATTTATGACTCTCCAAATTAGGGAGTATGGTTGGAGTTGAAATTTTTTAGAGAGCTCCTGAAATAGCTTTCTTATATTCTTAGCCAAATTTTAGCTGAGAAATAGAGAGCATCATTGTGGATGCTCTCAGACTTTTAAGTGAGTCCAGTGAGATGATAACCTTAAGTTTAAATTTTCCTTGAAACATGTGACAATTATAGTTTAATTTTTAATGAGGTTTGGATTAGAATTCAAAATGAGCGTTAGCCCTAAAATGAGTCCAATGAGGCAACCGCTTCAACTTTCCTATTATTTAACATGAAAAGAAAACAAAGTTCCAATTAAAATAATTTAAGATAAAGAAAATAAGTATTATCTAATGCCAACAAAGTTTCCAACCCACCAATTTTCAAACATACCATGTCACCCAAAAACCGAATAATTTTATATGGACAAAATGTTAGGAAATTGAGCATTGATATCCTATAAAAGTGATATAAACGAGATCAATAAACACAAAACAAAACCAACCACACACACGAGATCAATAATTTACAAGGTTTATTCAATATGAGTTATGTCCACTATTTATCAAGATGGGGGAAGTCATGAATGGGGAACTTAGATAGAGAAATCAAGAATTGTGAAATAGATCAACTACTCCCCCATAGTTGATTATATTCGTGATTTTGAGTGTGTATTTGATTAAAAAAAATTGACTTGGAACTCACATAATTGTTTGTGCTTTATATGTTAATAAATATAAAGGAAGTCATGAATTATAATCATTTTAATACTCATGTGTTAGTAAAAACAAGACAAACATGAATTGGAATTAATCCAATACTCATTCATGATAAGTAAACATGTCATAAGAAGAATGATAAACAATTACAAGCACACGAGTGTTTACTTCATGCTCACATGTAATTAGGGTTCACAAATGATCATGAATAAGGCTCTCCCTAAAAGTCCTATTTATAATACGTAAGACTTCTAGTTATATGAGCAGAGTTATAATCCAAATAGGAATCAAATTCACAGAGGAAACAAAACAAGAAAGTGCTCATGACATGAAACGGTTGGTCGATTAACATCTTCGCCAACCTCCTCAAAGCATTTCGGTTCATCGGTTTACATAGAAAATATCATTGTTTGAATCATTTGCACAAACTCAACAAAGAGCGCTTTGAACTTAAAGCACACACAAACAAGGAAAAACAAACTCTAAGAAATCACAAATAATCTGAATTTTTATTTTCATGAATATATATGAGGCCCATTTTAAAAATGTTGATCTAGGTTGGTGCCAATTATGGTTTGTGGTTGTGTTGGTGTCATGTCATTTGTTTTCACTTTGAAAATTAGTCAATCAAAACTCTACTAATTTATAATCATATTGTGTTTGGGTTAATCCACATGTCAATTGAGCAAAAAGCTAACACTAAATTTACTTTATTTCCAAACAAATCAACTTACTTATACATTATGTATACTAGCCTATTCGCACGCGCTTCTGCGCTGCAAAAGGCTTTTTATTTTAAAATTAAAATTTATTTTAGAATTAAAAAAATAATGGGTAGTTGTGTTCCATAAAAATAGAGTGCTGCTATTTCCACCCTCCCTGTCCTATTTTCTCACCCACCTTATATTCCCACTCATCATGTAAATTTGAAAAAAATAAAATCCTATCTTTCCACCCATCATTATTCCTAAAAGACCATTTAATTATTAATTCAAGAAAATTCTCTTGCTAATCCATTATGGATCCAAATCCTTTGCTTTGGTTTTTCTCATAATTAAAACATACAAATATATTTTCCTTAAAACATAAATTAATTCCCTCTCTCATTCATTATTTGGCGTCTCTTTGTTTAATTAATGAGTTTTTTTTCTTTTTAATTCTTATGAAATTGAGTTTTTATTTTAGGGTTGAGGTTTTTTCCTTAAGTCCTTAAAAGTCATTTTGCAAAGGGGTAAATTTGTATATAAAATTTTGAAGATAAGGTGGGTGAGAAAATATGACAGGTTGGTGGAAATAGCAGCACTTGATCCATTCTCTGATTTTTCTTTTAATTTTAATTTTTTTTAAATATGAAAAGAGTGAATTTACCATATTATCCTCATGTAATTAATAATTTCAATTATTAATGTTTGCATTAACTAATGACATTTTTTTGTATTTTGAATGTTTTACCACCTTTTACTTTATATGCAGATAATAAAAATTATGTAAATTATAAATATTTACAAAATCATAAAGAAAGTATACTATAAATTACTCATTCCATACATGTTATTAGAAAGGAAAAAAAATTGAAAATGAAATCAATTTGCTCTTGATTTACTAGTATTTTTTTTCCAATAAAAAAAAGAATTATATCCTTCATAAAATATTAATTGAATATGCTTATCATGGCAAAATCGAGTTAGTAACATAGTTTGTTGTGTCAAAAATTGCCACCCTAACAATAGGTCCAAAAAACTTGTCGTTGATCATGTTCTAAAATTTGCATTACTTTGGATGGCCATGGAGAGGAGACACCTACATGTGCTTGTGCATTATTTAGAAGAATAATTTTATCGTTACTTTTAAAAGAAAAGATTATTATCAATTTAGAATAATTTATTTGCTGGTTCGAATAATTACCCCCAAAAAAGGTAAAGTATTATTCAATAAACTTCTTTTTGGGTCCGGCAAGAACAAATGGGGCTGGATTTTCCAATTTAAATATCACGGGCGGGTCATTGGCTCGATTACCGACTCCCGGATGGGTGGCAAGTAGCGACCCGCAACGTGACACGCAGGGCATAATCGTCTTTTCAAAATATCCTCCACGCGTCGCGCCATGGTTGGAGAGACCTACTTTCTCTTCTCCCCGTTGTCACGCATGACATGACCTCCATGATGATATTTAGAGGAGTGGAGGTGGGTGAAGAAGCCACAGCCACCGTCTCCATAGCAAAAGCTCAAAGCACAGAGCAACGTAGAAAAGGAGCAGGGAGTCCTTCATTGTCTCTGAGAGTCACAGATTTTCAGCTCATTTTTCGTTTTGGCCTAGATTTTCTGCAACCTCCATGGTCAGTTTCTCCCATTTCCCTGGTTTTAATTTTTTAATTTTTTCTCGTTTCTCTTATATTTTTGGCTGGTTAAAGTAATTTGGGTTGTGATCTCTGATCTCTTGTCTCTGATCTGTGATGGGTTTTATATGCACTTCTGAAAATCGAGTTGTTATGGATCTGAATTTGGGTTTTGTTTTAATTTTTATATAATTTAGTTTGCCAGTAGATGATGATATTTGCTTAGAACCGAAGTCTTGTACTAATCTTTTATTTTTTATTTGTGGGTATGTGTTTTATGTTCATTTTGGTGGGATTCTGGGTTTCTTTTATATTTGGCATTTTGATGTCGGTTCTGAAAGTGTTGATGTTGGTGGCGCACGTGTGTTTGAGTTCAACGTTGTCTTGTTGATTGTGAAGTATGTGCATAGTTGCATTGCACCATTAGTCTGAAAAAGCTGTTGGTGTCAATTCTTAGATACATTGTTTGACTGACATTTATAACTGATTAGAATGGAGTTAGCTTATCTGAATGTCAAGACACATACTTTAGTTCTGATTACTCGCTTTCTGTATTCTTTTATTTGACCTGTAGTTGGGGTTCAATTGCTCACTTTTGCAATTATGTCAACTAGCTGATCAGAACTAAATTCTAGGTTGCTCATCTGGCAGCACTCATCGACGCTTTCGTTTGAGCAAACCAATTTGATCCCGTATGCATGTTGCAATTCTGAATTGTGGTTGATCTTAATATTGCTAGCATAGCACAAGTGCGCTTACTTTGCCCTGGTCTAGAAATTGGGATTGGGGCAGCAAAGCTTATTATATCTGTGCACCCTGGTGCAGGACAGTGTAAAACTTGGGTGCGTCATGGAGAGTCTGTAATCCTGGGTTGAAGCTAAACCAAAGAGGAAACCTGCCTCAAGTAACCTTATTCCTTTTTTGTTCATTGCTCGTGATGAAACTTGGGTCGTGCTTAGGTCTCAGTTTCACATTTCTGGTATATTCCTGTGTAGTTTAGATGCCTGAGCTCTAGGCTACCCTGCCTCATGCAGGCTCAGAGTCAAGGGCTTCAAGATGAGCCCTGTATCATTAGTCACTACTCGAGAGAAACGGTCGAGGGAGAGAAAGAGAGGAAGGAGGCTACAGACTTTAAAATTATTTTCAAGTCCAGTATGTCTAATGGGCAGACCAAACCCAAAAGGAATCAAATCTCTGGAATAGTCTTTTTAGGATCTGCATCAGTGATTTTATAATGATCACTGCATACTAGCTGTTTTCCTGTTGTGAGTAGAAAACTTTGTGGGATTTAAATTTTGGGGAATGACACCTTGACATTGTAATATCTGGTGTCATGACTTGATAACTTTGGTTTAACATTGTAAGATATTGTTAATTGTTTTGTTGGCAATTTCTATGATTCTGTTTTGGATGAGCTGGAGAATTAATATATGTTTAGTGTTTAGAAATGAAAGTGTCTTGGTTTTGGGAAAGAAGTTGGCTTCCCTAGTTGCATGCTATTATTCTTTGGGTGGATGCATGAGAATAACATCTATTTTGTGTTTCGTTCTCTGATCAGGCTAATGCAGCGTCGGGATTTGCTGTGGATGATGACTGCAAGCTGAAGTTTCTGGAATTGAAGGCTAAAAGAACGTACCGCTTCATAGTATTCAAGATTGAGGAGGAGCAAAAGCAGGTGATTGTGGAGAAACTTGGCGAGCCAGCTGAAAGCTATGAAAACTTTACTGCAAGCCTTCCCGCTGATGAATGCAGATATGCTGTCTATGATTTTGACTTTGTGACTGAGGAGAATTGTCAGAAAAGCAGGATTTTCTTCATTGCATGGTAATATTATAATCTGAAAAAACCTCACTTTTTCTCGTCATTTTTGCTTATGTTCGTTACCGTTCATAGGTCTCCTGATACATCAAGGGTGAGAAGCAAGATGATTTATGCAAGCTCCAAGGACAGGTTCAAGAGAGAACTGGATGGTATACAAGTAGAGCTGCAGGCTACTGATCCGACTGAGATTGGTCTTGATGTTATCAAAAGTCGTGCCAGCTAAGAAGTCTGGCGTTTATTTATGGCGATTTTTCTCAACCTCTGTTTTACTTTTAAGTGAAATGTTAATAGTTTGTGGTGCTGTGAACCTGACTGAATTATAATACTTGGTTTGTTGTTCAAGTTTTACCTTACAGTCTTACCTTCGTCTAGAACAAATTCTGTGATCTCAGTTTATATAGGAAGATGGCAGAACATATGCAATGAGTGTCTGAGTTTCTCCTAATAGTTATATCTAGATGCTAAGTTATATCATCTCCTGAAGGTAGAAACACCGGATTTGTTTTTTCAACTGCAGAAAAGTGTTTTACTATTTTTAACCATACAGAAAACAGCTGTATGCTGTTATAATTGGTTCTGAAACTGGTTCTTGCTCATTCTTGTGTGCCTGTAGCGCCAATTCGGTCTTTGTCATTCATGGCGACAGGATTAATGGAACATGCCCTGCAAAGCCCAAACAAAGCATTGTTTAGTTGCCTTGCAGTGCATTATTTTGTAACCATAATTGGTGCCAATGGCGAATGCACCATTTAGAATTTTGTGGCTTCTACTTGTGACTATCAAATTTCAAACTCAACCTGAAAAACACCAGTTTGAGTCTAACCTCTGAGATGAAAGTCACGGCCCAAAGTGCTGGAAAAAATAATGTTGCTAAAGAAGAACGCTCACCACACTCCCTGTTTATACGCAAACAGAAAAGAAAAACACCGAATACATTTATAGTGTCCATCAGGTTATAAATTCTCAGGTGGCTGCTGATACCTTTAGTTTGGGAAAGGCCAGATCCATTCAGTGCAATTGTTTTGTTTCTGAGCTTCTCGTCATTGTACAACAAAATAAAAGATCATAAACTCACAAGGCATGAGGAAAAATATGTGCAACTGAGTTAGACTTGATTCACCTTTTCTCGACTGCCTAAGCAACGAAACTTGTTGGAGGTTTCTTTCTGTATAAAGAATGACAACAATAACTTTCATCCCCAAGGGAAGACCCAAGTTTTATGGATTTATTTCATGTTGCTGACAAACAATCAATTCAAAGTTTCTCTCAGCTCTATGTTGCTCATCCGCTTGTTGATACATTACATTGTCTCTCTCTTACATCTTCTACCTTAACATATAGGGTCGGAATAATGTACATAAAAGAATTCCAGGTCATCTTGTCAATGTTAGAAGTATACCTAAGCTAAAAAAATGTCAGTTTTTGAAGGTAACAGAACGCATGCCTGGTTCCATATGGGACACACGGAAGACTCTTCCAGCATTTCTAGCAGCTGATGGACAGAACTCAACCTGTCAGGCAAGTTCCATGGATGAGTGTGTTTTATGTAACTCGATCTGGCTTCAACCCTCTTTTCATCATGTCATCACGCAACTCAAAAGCCTTGGCTAGTTCTCCAGTGACACAACAACCATATATCAAAAAGTTATATGCTAGAATATCAGGCTTCAAACCCCTATCTAGCATGACATCCCACAATTTAATAGCTTCTAGCAAATTGCCGCTCCTACAATGCTCAAAGATAAATGTTGAATAGGTGATACAATCTGGGTAAACACCATTGGCTGTCATCTCAACAAGGAGGTCTGAAGCTTCCTGAAACTTACCCATTTTGCAAAAACCCCTGATAAGTATATTGTATGTGACAGTGTTTGCCGACAACCCAGCAAGCATGGCATTATGCAGCTGTATAGCTTTTTCCATGCTTCCTTCTTTGCTAAGGTGATCTAAGAAACAACCATATGTAACATGATTAGGAAGGGTATCACCGAAGAGCATATCCTTACAAAGAAGCTCTGCTTTATCCGTATAACCTGCCTTACATAACCCATATACCAAGGCAGTGTATGTCACAACATTTGGTAAGCATCCTTCACTAACCATTATATCCCAAACTCCAAATGCCTTGTCAAGTTTTCCTGTTTTCCCATATACATCAATCATACTTGTATATATTACATTATCAGGCCTCAGTCCCTGATTATGCATCTCATTAAAGAGACCAAATAATCTTCCAGTATCCTGTTGCTTTAAAGCTCCACAAATAAGTACCGCATAACACACAAGATCCATGTCTACTCCTCTTTCAATCATCTCACGACAAGCACCTAATGCATCATGCAATCTTCCTTCCTTGCAATAACCATGTAGTAGTGCACTATAGCACATCTCATTTAACTTATAATTCTCTTTGTGAAGGTCAACTACAAACTTTTTGGCTTCAGACACTCTACCTGTTGAACAAAGACCACTTATTAGAGGTCTATATGTATATGTGTCTGGTACAAGCCCCTTTTTGACCATTTCATCAAACAATTCAAAGGCTCTAACCGTGTTGCCTTCTCGGCAGTGACCATCAATCATAAGATTATAAGTGACCTCATTTGGCAAAATGCCCCTTTCCACCATTTCATTGAAGAACTTAGTTGCTTCACCCATCATATTTGCACGACAAAGACCTGAAATTATTACAGTGAAGGTATAAGTGTTTGGTGTGATGCCTTTTGCCATCATTTCATGATACAGCCTAAATGCCTTGTGCATTTCTCCTTCTTTGCAGTATCCACTTATCAATGATGTATAGGTTACAACGGTTGGAGCCACTCCTTTATTCATCATCTCACTGAAGAGGTTTTCTGCCACACTCAATTTTCCAAACTTGCATTGCCCGCTTATCAAAGAATTGTAGGGATACACAGTTACTCTAATCCCAGCATTGGTCATTTTACCAAAATAACAAAGTGCAACATCCAACATTCCCCTTCGGCTGAACGAATCAATCAAAATAGAATATGTTACATCATTGGGAAACATACCCTTCTTGCCCATGTTATCAAAGAGTAATTCTGCTTCCTCCAGTTTCCCATCCTTACACAAAGAATTGATCAATGAATTATAAGCAAACAAATTAGGCACCACCCCAACTTCTCCCATTCTATTCACTAAATCAAAAGCATCTTCAATCTTCCCTTTCCTCCTCAGTCCCTCCATGAGACCTGAAAGAGCCGCTTCACTCGGAACAAACCCCAGCTCAATCATTTCATTCATTAGCTCCACACCAACCTCAAATTCTTGCACTTTGCACAACCCAAGCACCAATGTACAATACGTCACCATGTCTGCTTTCAATCCCTTTTGCCCCAATAAATTCTTGATCTCTACAGCCTCCCTAGCCCTCTGGCACTTGCAGAGTCCATGAATCAACACATTATATGTAACAACACTCAACTCACACTTATTCGATTCTGCGTACTGAATCACTTCCTTAGCCTTGTGTACATCTTTCAATTCACACAAGCTCCTAACCACAGCCGTGTACATATAAGCATCAGGCCGAAGACCTACATTGACAAACTCATCAAAAAGTTGCAGAACCATATTGAAATGCCTAATTCTTACCAACCCATTTAAGAGGGCATTCAAGGTTCTAACCTCAGCCAAAATTTCACACTCCCTCATGAGCCTAACAACCACAACACCATCCAACACTCTCTTATTTTGCACATAATTTTGAACCAACAAATCAAAACCCAAACTCGACGAGCAGTTAAGTTTCCTATAACAATTCAACAAAGACTGAAAAACCTCATTTGGGTTCAACCCACGTAGCAAGAGGGTCTGTAAAAGCGAGGAGGCAGGCCAAAAGAGATTGGACTGAACCAGGGCATGAATCAAAATGCAAAACGACGCCGTAGAGTGATTGAAGCTTTTGTGCAAGCCCAAGAAATTGAAAAACCGCAAGGCTAACCTGGGATTCCTTACATTCTGGATCAGAACCTTCTCAACGTGATGGGACTTCAATGCGATTGAAATGAAGGGGTCGTTGAAGGCGACTTTCCAGCTCTGCTTTCCTCGAACGACGTCGGTTAGGCCCGAAACGAAGTGGGAGTCGTCATTTTCGTCATTATCTTGGGAGGTGGGTTTGGAAGAGGAGCAGATATTTCTGGGTTTTGAGTGAATGAGAGAGTTTGTGAGAGGACGATGAGGGCGAGTGATCTTCATTTTGGGTTTGAAATGAAAGTGTTTACTTTTGGGTTTAGATTTGAGCCATCTGAGGTTGAAGATGTACTCAACTCATACACAGTCGTCAGTCAATTGGGCTCTGAGTAGCTTTTGTTTGATTTGTTGGGTTGTTCTTAGCAACAACAAAATTCATTGGATTGGTTTGAATTTTGTTGGGGATTGGGACTGGGTAATTTGGTCGGTTTTTATCGATGTCGAGAGTGAAGGTGGCTGTGGATTGTGTATACTATACTCGTTGGATTATGGATGCTGCTGCTTATGGAGGAAGAGAGAGAGAAGAGGGAATTAATTAATTTTTACCAAGGAATATATTGGATTTTTTTTTTTTAAAACCACAAACAATAATTGGTTTTTTTTTTTATGTTGAGAAATTCTAGGATTGCATTCAGTCAAAAAAGCCCCTACCCATGTTAATGGGTCATATAGTCAAGCCTATCAGAAAGTACCAGGTGGCCAAGAAAGGCTAGGTCATTCATATATCGACCCGACCAGGTTGACCACCCCATGTACTGCTAGTAGGTCTTCCAACCAGGCTTATTATTAGGAAACATTGCACGGTCCAAAGTTTTGGTGACGGTGTACCGACTCGACCAAATTGATCTCTCCAAGTCCACTGTGATGTCTTTTGACCAGAAGGGCAGAAGCGCTAATATTATAATACAACCAAATCCCTGTCAGGCCATGTCACTTCACACACCTAATACGAACATGGTGACTGAAATGGATCATTTAATCCGCTTCACATCCAAGTCAGATGCCGCCTTGCTACTTGATCTCCGATAATCAGCACAATGACTGGTGCTCATAACCACTCTCTAGCCCTATCATTGGAAATGGCTGAAGATCTCATTTTTGGCAAGATTTAATGAGATATTATCTCTCATTCTCCCTCTATAAATACTCTTCATCTGCATTGAGACAAAGGTAATAAATATTTTCATCCAGAAACTCTCTATCCATCTCTTTACTATAAACCCACTTATAACTTAGTCATTGGAGTGGGTTCGACTAGTGTCCAGCCAGTTTACTCCTCTTGTTATAGTTGCTTGAAGTGTTGCTTGAAGTGTGCATGTTAGCTTGAAAGATCAACCCAACCTCACAGTCCAGGGCACGTCTTGGTCTTGACCCAAGTTAGGACCTCGCTATTACATAAGAGACTCCTTATCAACAAGCCACAAATGGTCAATATAAACTAGCCACAAAGGGCCATTACAATAACGAAATGGTATAACATCAAAACTAAGACAATCTGATGCGCCTCCACTAACAATGAACTTTGTCATATGCATTCCAACTAAAATTGCAAAATCAAAATAATCAAAAAGAGATAAAACTTAATTTATTTCTTAACTTATTTAGTTACTATTTTTAACTTAATGCCTAGCTTTTGTAATACCAACTCATTTAGCACATAATATAATTTTTTTTTAATGCAATATTGTAATACCAACTCATTTATAACATGACAATTACTTACTGAACGTAACAAAAGGAATTTACGTATCGATTGTTTAACATAACAATTCCTTATTGAATGTAACAAGCTAGTCAATTCTATCACGCATTGCAATATATTTTTTTTTTTTTGTCTTTCCTTTTTCCAAAACTTATACACATTTTCAAATCTAATATTCATGTGAAGTTAAACACATCAATTGTATACTTGAAATTTGGAAAAAAAAAAAAAAGAAGGTATAAAATATTTCTTACTTATAATCTTATGAAGCGAAAATCATTAACTTAACAACCTCAATGATTTCAAGCACATGTAAAAGCCAACATTACATCTACCATTCTAATTGATTGCAATGCGTGATAGAATCTTTGATTGTACAACATTCCAATTGAAAGGGAGAGAGTGAGCCACATATGTAGTGCACAAAGACTATCTCGGTACTTAAAGACTCATACACATATACATGATACCCACGAGTATTCTCATTTTGTAACCTTGGATTACACTTTTTTAATGTAAACATAAAAACAAGTGTCAAATTGGAGTCTACTCGGTTTGAAAATGGCACAACCGATTTTGTGCCCAACAATACTTGAATGGTTATTTTTTCCCCCGGTAAAAAAATATAGGAACATTTCCCTTGTAAATCAAATGAAGCCTACCTTATCAAGAGAAATAAAATAAATTAACAAACAAACACCGGCAACTTTATTTCTGATGATTATAAGTTAGGAGCATGCGATGGAACACCTTTGTCTTAACTACGACAAAATGCTCAATTCACAAAAACAAGAGATTGAGGTCATGTTTTGGTGAATGATATTAGATTATGAAAAAGAATTGGATCACATTGGATTGGAAATGATAACGCTAATCTAATGATGTGTTTGATAGTACACACATCATTAAGGGGTTGAATTAATTAAAATGTGCTATTATGAACTTAGTAGGATTATATATAATTGTTTGTAGGCAACCAAACATATTATTAGGATTATAAATCTTATCTAACTACATAATCCTATTCACCAAACGACCCTGCATGAAAATCTAATGATATTTTTTAACTTACAACTTCTATTTGTTTTCTAGAAATAAAAGTATACATTAAATCATATAAATCACGCTAGATCATAGCCCTATAAACTTATTTTCAATAAACTGAGCATAAAACAAATACAGATTAAATGCAACAAAAAGGTTAACATAAGAACAATGGGGAAACCACCAAAAAAATCACAAAACAGACTTTGGAAGAATAATATTTCCCTATTAATGTGTTGTAATTTTTTCATTTTTATATGAAAAGATGTCTTTATAGAAATAATGGGGAAACCGCCAAGAAGACCATAAAACAAGGGCCCCAACCACGAGTGAAAACGGCAAGTTGATGGGCTATATAGGTTTAATTTTGTTTTCCTTCAAAGAAAGCATAGGCTACAATAGATTAAAAAAGCTGTTCAGTGTAGTCTTATCGGTAATTCCGCCCATAATTTGTTTCCCTTATTAAGCTATTTACGATTTGTTAAAACAGGTCTTGTAATTTGGATTTCTTCTTTTGTTTGTAACTTATTATTATTATTCTTGGGTCATTTGTGGATGCACATAATGGTAATTGAAATATACATGTATGAAAACATTATCACATAAAACGATTTTCCCAGGCGAACAACAATACGAACATTTCCCTCCAGCTCATCGATCCGCACCTTCTCATTTAAACCAAGCAAAACACACCACGTACACACCCCAATAAACAAGCAAACCGGTACTTTACGCATTGATTGAAGCCGTCGATCTCCAATTTTACTCCACAAAATCCAACGGCCGTTGCTCACCACGTCACCGATCCGCACCTTTCTAACAAAAAGACGAAGAAACGACCTAATATAAATATCAGGCCCTAACCCCTTCCTCCTCATCTCACAATTTAAGTCCTCTCAATTTCCTCTTGTCAAAGTTTTCATTTCTTTCCCCGAGAAAAAGAGAAAATTTCCGATGGCGCCCAAAGCTGAGAAGAAGCCCGCCGAGAAAAAGCCAGCTGAGGAGAAGAAGTCGACGGTGGCTGAGAAAGCCCCAGCTGAGAAGAAGCCCAAGGCCGGCAAGAAGCTTCCGAAGGAAGCCGGAGCTGCCGCCGGAGATAAGAAGAAGAAGAGATCGAAGAAGAGCGTAGAGACCTACAAGATCTACATCTTCAAGGTGCTGAAGCAGGTCCACCCTGATATCGGGATCTCCAGCAAGGCCATGGGCATCATGAACAGCTTCATCAATGATATCTTCGAGAAGCTCGCTCAGGAGTCTTCCAGGCTTGCAAGGTACAACAAGAAGCCCACGATTACTTCTCGGGAGATCCAGACAGCTGTGAGACTTGTGCTTCCTGGTGAGCTTGCCAAGCACGCTGTTTCTGAGGGGACCAAGGCTGTTACCAAGTTTACTAGCTCTTGAAGAGTTAGATTGTTTATGTGTTTTGGGTTTAGGGATGGGGGTGTGAAGAAATTAGGGTTAGGGTTTGTGGGTTTTGATGCTTTTCATGTAAGTAAGTACTGATTGTTCTGTCGTAGTCTAAATTTCTAATGGAAGTTCGTTTTTCCCAATTGCCTATCTTTATTTAAATTTACGAGTATTCTTATTTAATTTGTATTCATAATGTGAAAATGCACATTAAATTGTGCCGTACTCTGATGTGAATGTTTGTATGTGTGATATGGGACTGTAATATTTTTATTCACTATGAATATTGCCCAAATTCATACCTGTTTTTGTTTTCTATGATTCTGATGTTGGGGTTTGGTCCTTTTAATTGTTTAAGTCTGGGTTTTTTGTTTGCTTGATATAGGTTGCTGTAGTTAATGGTTTTATATGTCCAACGCATGCTAGTATGCATATTTTTGCACTGACATAACTGCAAAAACACTTCAATTTTTGCAATGGGATACTGAGATCCAAAGCGATTCCCTTCATGTCGTAACATGATTCGCTTTTATTTGTGAGTGTAATTTACCAGAAGAGTATGTTCCTTTTGCAGGGAGTGTTTTGACATGTTTTGTTGGTTGCTGAGCCTGCCTGTGGAAAGTGTTGTGCAAATATCACTTTCATGTTCATAGTTTTCCTGACAATAATGTGGAGAGTTTGGTTCATCAAAATTGTTCCAAAAGTACTTTTATCCTTGTCTGTTCACATATTAACTTATAGGGTTTAGCTAAGAGTTGGGAAACTCTTATAGGGTCTCTCTTTCAATGCTGCATCACCTCATGAATATTTTTGAGAAGCAGCGTTGTTTGGTAGTGTATTATTAGTTTATGCTACCTAATAGCATCAGGACCTTCAGTATAAGCATGCCATTATTGTTATTCTGGCCCTGATTACTGGAACGATGGCAGAAATGGTCATCTCCTGTGTATTCACTACCGTTATTTGGTTTCTTGTATGGTGTTTTTTCATTTGCCTCTGTCATGTTCTTTGGCTGAAGCCTCAGAGTAAAAGACTAAGTTATCCCTTCTCTTTAATATTTGGGCACATTGTTGGAATGAAGAGGATGGTGTCAATGGACCTACAAGCTGATGGTGGGAAAACTAGAAGGAAACCTCACATCTTACTGTTCTCTAACTCAAATTCCCGTATTTCAAGCTGTTGACTGAGGAATTTGGTAAAGTATTTCATCCTGGCACAGACTGTTGTTTTGTCAAGTTTCCAACTTAGTTATGTATGTAATAGTTGTAGAAAATAGCCTAATGGTCTGTTTATCTTGTGGTATGCATTCCATTTGAGTATGGACTGCGACAGGGAGGGGCATTATATGAGAGGGGGAAGGATGCCACCCATTGCCAAAAAGAAAAAAGCCAGGGACAGTAGAACTAACTTTCTGCCCGGTACATGTCTTGGACCTTCAAGTTGTCTCTGTTCTTGAAAGTTTCTTTGTGGTATTTTTTGTTGGCATTCAACGCCAAAACAGTTAGACTTGTTCCCAAGATTTATAATCTGGTCTGTAATGACTTTGAACTCTTTCACTGGAAGCCCTACTGCTCAGTCTGGTTGGTCCTCAAATACTAGAACTACTGAAATTGCAGGGTGAAGTCCCTTAAACCTACTTAGCTATTTCCATTTTCTGTCACAGAATCATTTAGTTGTTTTTATCAATCTTCAATGTAAGGAGATTCATTATGATCATGCATGGTAATCTGCATATATTGGTCCTCTTTATCTGACATTCTCATTGCTATTGGTTTTTGCTTCTTACCGTTTGCCCATTGACTAAATAAATCTGAGAGACAAATATTGATGAGGCTTTACATTATAACAGGAGGATCGGCACTTTGTTAGGGAATTCTCTTCAGATCATTTGACTTGGGTAAACCTGCTCATCCTCAGAAGGATTGGCACCCTTATTATTAAGGTCATTACAACAAATGGCGCACATTGGTCCCAGTAACGAAAAACAAAAAGCTCCCCAGCTTTACATGTGCAAAGTGAAGGTATTTCAAGATGGGAGAATTAGGCTTGCTGACTTAACTTGGATTTCGGAACTGCAATGCTTATTGGAGTAAATAAAGTTGGAATCATGCAGGATTTGTTAATTGTTGAATCTACAAATATGCTGGTCAAAACTTGCGAATGTGCTAAAATGGATGGCTGAACCTCTGATTTGCTCTTGGACGGTGTTGGTATTGACTGTGATGAAGGAATACAAATATTTTTTCAGGGTAATGATCATATTAAGTCCATGATGAGTACAAGGACTACTCGTGGAGTTTGCCTTGTTAAGGTAAATTCATCCTTCCCTTCACGTGTAATCATAAGTTTTGTACAAACCTCTCTCTTTCTCTCTCTCTCTCTCAAACTTGGTGGAAAACTTGGGATTCAAAGTCTTGAAATTTGTTCATGGTAACCTTGTCTGATATCAGAAAGGATAAACATGTCCTTTTCTACTGGTTTCTAAAGTTTTAAATGAAATATTTCCCATTGAGTCAAGGTTGAGGTGTTTAACATGCACAACAGTGGAGTGTGAAGCTAAAGTGGCCATGTTGAATGCTCCCTCATTCTTCACCTCTTATATTCATTTGAGTCAGATTTTCACAAACTGAGAAAAATAAAATGGTCTGGAGACTAGAGAAGGAGATCTACTTAATAATTGTGGACAGTTTGCAGGAGGGTACAGACGGCCATTCTGGTGTCTTGTTACATGTGATCATGCAAGTTGCTACGTGCCAAGAACGGTGAGCTTGGACATTCCACAGATGACCAATTTATAGTTCACATAACTGCAAGGACATCTTCCTGGCTGCATCTGAGTTCACTTCCATTGCTGCAACATGGGTTTGATGGTAATGGCATCACATCCTGAGCAGCGATATGATATATGCACGGTCCCAGAAGTTCCCAGGGGTCACCTTCCTGATGCAGCAGTTATAGGCTTGGCAAGTTGAAAGTGGTATGTAATTGTTCGTAGGCTATAACCAAGCTTATTTGGAATCTTGGTTTGTAACCAGCAACTGAAAATAGTGGTCGATTGTTTTCCAATATTTCTTGCTAAGAGACCAATTTGCGTGCCTCAGCTTTGCTTTACATGCCTTTTGGTTTTCCACTATTTCTTGGTCTCAAAAAGATGAACTTCTCTCTAAAAATAATTACCTTTGAAGATCCATTGGATTGCCAACTACAGCCACATTCCATGATTTGGTTCTCAGAATTCATCTTCAACCTCCTACACTACCTGAGTTTCTCCATCCTAGACTTGATAGTGGAACTTGGACTGGTTCATCTAATAAATTTGAATATTCATTAATTGACCTTTTTTGTGGTGGATAAAAGTTTAATTAATTATTACAGAAGAAAATCGTGAGAGCCTCTAAGGCGCGAACTATGCAACTGAACCAACAACCAAGGGACAATTTTGTAATAACAATAAAAAACCATGAAATATTGAAAATGATCAGCAACACTCAACGTGCTTCCACCCCCTTATCTTCCGTCCCATAAATGTTGTTAACAACCTAAACCCACCTTCCTCCACAAACCTCCACAACTTCGTGACATGTCTCTCCCGTTCTTCCACTCACTTCGCCGAGCCCTCACGTCCAGGTGGCCAGTTTTTCTCTATGCGGCCACCTGGACTCTTTTTCTGACGGTGACAGTGGCCGTGGCTTCTTTCTCTCCTGAGATTGCGTTTGTCACGGCCATATCTCCCTCCTCGCCCTTCTCCAAGTCTTGTGCTGGAGAGGGGTTTGTTAGAATACCCTTGGATTATCCAAGAGAGGCAATGTGCTTCCCGGCTAACATGGTTCGGAGGTCCAACTTGGATTTCTTTGTGCCTACGGTGTTTGCTGCTTTGATTGTGGCGGGTTCGGCTTTTGTGGTGCGGTCCTTGGCCTTGTGGGAGGGGACAGAGAGACGCAGAGAGGTTGATGATGGCTTGATGTTGTTCTCTAGAAACTAATATAAAGTTCCATGTAATTCTTTTTTAGATGCTTCAATAGCTCAATGGTTTTACTTCTTTATTTTCTTGGATTACTTTTCAGATTATATCCATGGTTAACTTGTTAAGTTTATGGCGAATTTTAGTAGAATATTAGGCATCCCTTCTTTATTTTGATTTGTTTTGGCTGTGTTGAATGTTTGAATGTTTCTGGTAGCTTCCTAAGATTTGGCCACTGGTAGCTCTCAGTGGCTAATTAATCCGCAGTTTTTGGTAAGGTTGAAAGACCATGTCATGCAATATTATGCAAACAATGGAAACATCATCAGTTTCTAAATGCATATTTTAGATGAAGTCCAGTTTAAGGGAGAAGAAGATAGAGTGAGGGTGAAGGACAGGAGAGAGTTGCGCTCAATTTGGTTGCATGCATGAATATTCGTAGAGATAATGGAAGAGAACAAAAGGATAGGAAGGAAAATATGAGCCATTGGGTTATATGGCTTCATGGCAATAGTTTGTGTTTCTTCTTGTATTTACATTGCTTACAGGTTTGGATATATATAGACATGACTAAGTAAATGTTCTTTCCTTCTTTTTAGCCTGAAAATGAAATCTTTATCAATAGTCAAATCATTAAATTGAAAACCGAGAATTGGGCAAACAACCATACCCACACAACACAAATATCCAAACCCTTATGTACGTGGAAGAGAGGTTTCCACTAACGAATCCGAAGCGAAGATCTTGTTATTTTAAAGTCTAGCATTTACTCCAAAGTAGTTTCGTCCTCAAGCTATAGCACTAATTACATATATATATATATATATATATATACCCGAGTTCGATTCAAGTAGGAGACAATCTTGAGGCAACTCAATATAATACTCTCATCTCCCTCCCTAGCGAATGACAAAAAACAAAAAAAAAAACAAAAAACAGGAATATAAAAATCAGTAATTTTTTTTTGAAAAAAAAATGCCAACCGACCAAAACAGGATACGTTTATTTTTCTGTGTCACTATGGGTAGGCCTAATAATAAGTAAAACTATTCAGGCCCAATTAAAGGGCTATGTACGCCCCAAAAAAGAAAAGAAATTTCAAATAAATATTTGACACGAGGAAACTTGGTAAGCATATGGGTCCATAGCTCAGTGGTAGAGCATTTGACTGCAGATCAAGAGGTCACCGGTTCGAACCCGGTTGGGCCCTTATATATTTGTATTGTTTTTTACAATTGATGATTTCTTGTTTTTGTTCCAATCTTTTTTTATGTCATATCAACTCAATCAGCTTTCCCATGGACATGACATGTCCTCGGATAAAATCATTTCACTTATTAATGAGAAGTGGATTTGTTGAATAAAACATAAACAAGTGAATTCCTTTTATTTCATTTCTGATATATTTATATTTCAACTATTGGCCAAGCATCAGAAATGCACTTGCAGGATGAGTTATTTTATGAATGATGGACTTATGTCACATAAAATGTGCAGCCAATACTTATCTTGTGAAATACAGTCTACCTAATGATTATATTTATCTGATAAAGGAATATCTTATGCCAATCAACTATATAAAAGTCGGATGAAAAATTATCACCATGTCTAATTCCAAATTATTGGAATACTTTAAACCTAGTTTGGAATGACTGTCACTTTTAAAAAAAGTTGATTATGCTGTGTTTTAAAAATAATTAGCTGTAAAATAAAGCAGCTCCATGTTTGGTAAACAATATTTTTAAAGTGCTCTTAATACAAAAAACAGTATCAAAACCGTTTGGTAAATTTTAATATAAAATTGTTGTAACTGTAAATAATGACTAAAATAGACATGATGTAAGTGTTATGTACTAATCATGTGGTGGTAGTGGTAGTGATGGAGTGAAGGTAGTGGTAGTTATGGAGTGGAGGTAGTGGTGGTGATGAAGGTGGAGTTGGTAGTTGTGGTAGTGGTGGTAATGGTAGTGGGGATGGCGATTATGGAGGTGGTGGTGGTAGTGGCAGCATGGTGATTATTGTGGTGTTGGTTGTGGATGTGGAGATTTTGGAGGAGGAGATGGTTGTGGTGGTAGTGGTGGTGGTGGTGGTGGTGGTAGTGAATGTGGTGGTGCAAGTAGTGGAGTTGGATGTGGAAGTGGAGGTGATGTCATTTTTTAAAATGAATGATGGTATTTTGGGAATTAAAAAAATTCACTAAAAATTCATCTCTGCTTCTTTTAAAAACATCTTTGAAAAGCAATCAAGAGCATGCTTTTAAAAGCTGCTGTTAAAAGGCCACTGTTTTTAAAATAATCGGGATATTTTATTTTTACCAAACACCTTAAACTGCTTAACTTTAAAGTGAAGCAGGTTTTGGGTGAAAAAAAGCAATCCCAAACGGGGCCTTAGTAGGACTTTTACAATTTTTTTTTTTTTGGGGTCAATTGATGTCAGAAGTTATTTTGGTTATCTAAACACATTTTAAACATTTCTTTACGAAAAAAGAAAATTCACATTTTTAAAAGCAATCACAAACAATTTGCCTTTGCAAATCGTCCCACCTCCTCATTTTCCTGGTCTTTGCTTTCCAAAATCTCAATCCTTTATTGGCCTTTGCAGATTCAGACGCTCAGAAGACCTGCTTTCAACCATAGATGTGAAATCGACGCCGAGAACTAAGGTATTGTAGGATTATCTCAGCCTTTGATTGTTGCTTTTGATTGGACTGGTTGATGATTTTGCTTTAGATTTAGTTTGTTTGGAGGATTTTTGTTGTTGTTATTTGTGTGGCTAGATTTTGGGCTGCTTTTTGGGCTTCAGTTACTTTAGTTGTTAAGGATTATTCCCCTTATGTCATTAGGCTGGATTTGGTGGTGGCTGTGAACTGAGGTTGTGTCCCTCCTTCACATCGCCTATTTTCCCTTCTTTTCTTTTTCTTTCTTTTGGCTTTTTAAGAGCTGTTTCTGTGTTTTGTCTGTTTGGCTATGGATGCCTTATCCACCTTTTCGATATATCGTTTCCCTCCAACAAAAAAAAATATTTATATATTCAAGAAAAATTTTCTCCAAAATAATGTATGCATTCATTCATTTTCATGACCTAAAATAAGAATTGAATTTGATTTGTATCTCATGATCCAAACTCTCATATGGTTGTTGACATATGAGAGTTTATTTTCTGTGAGTCTATAAGTGTTATCTATTAAGGATGATTTATGCTTCAGCCTTAATTGTAGAGATAAATAGATTAACCTTAGCTTGAGATTATAGACTTATTATTGTGATGGGAATTAATTAAACTCCACTTATCTGTGCCTAATGAACTAGGAGTGTAAGAATTGTAGTTTTAATATATCTGTGTGTGTGTATGTTCTGTTTTCAATTTTTGGTTGTTTGAATTCATTTGACACATGTACACATCATGAATGACAAGGGAAAACAACTCATGAATGAAGCTCGTGAATTGTTCGACATCAAAATGGACTCGGATGAGTGTGTTGAAGAAGGCTGAGGTCGGTGGCTATCCAAATGATACAGATACACTACGAACGTATAAGACTGTCGAAAATGATTTTGGGAGCGTGATCAAGAAACTCAATTCACTTGGGTATCGCGTGTCCTTTCCCGACGTTGATGGCAGTTCTCCCACCACCGGCAGTGGCAACCTTCTAGTGGTTGCCGTGACTCCCCCGCCAGCTGCTGTTTCTCATACCACGGCTAGTCCTACTCCCCCTACTCCCTCACTAGTTGTCGTTTCTTACACCACCAACAGTGAGTGTTACCAAAGACACCACCACCTCGGAAGTGGATGTGGAGATGACGAATGCAAATGCAGTCCACAAAGAAGCAAGAGGAAAGATGAGATGTATCTCACTGAAGGCTCTGAAGTCCAAGTCAAGTGACATCCGACCTTTTAAGAAACACAAGAAAAATTGACTTTGTCTTGGTTTGCTCTTTTTGAGACTGATTGTCCACTTTGGTATATATGGAAAAAAGAGTGCTAATCTTAACAAAATGTCCCAAAATAACAAAGTGTCTCTTCAAGTTCATGCTGATATTTTGGTTTTGTTTTTAGTTTTTAGTTTGTAGCCTTTTATGGCTCGTGCGATACTTTTTTTCTTTTGTCTAAGGTTTTTCTCACTAGGTTTTCTTAGACAAAATTTTGATGAGGCAACGTTTGTCCCATTAAGAATGTAACCTTGGATAGCTAAATGACATTATACTATTTCAACAACCCCAAAAAAAAGAGTCCCAAAATACCGTATTTTGTTATAATTGTCAATCTCAACCAAGTAAATGTATGGTGCCATTGAGCACATGAACACGATGTATAAAAGATTAAGTGAGAGCAATAGCAGATCAATAATTTTTTTCTCTGTGTGGGCCAAAAATACAACACACAACCTACTTCGGAAGAGTTTTTGTCGTCTTAGAGTTTCATGGTCTTTAGATATAGAGGGCAAGGAGAAAAACGAAAGGGGAAAGAGAGAGAAGAAAGAAGAAAAGCTTCAGGGCTGGAAGTGATATGCTTCTCATTGAAAAAGAAAATAAAAAAGAAAATTATTTCATTTGTTGGAGGG